AGAAATAATAGATAAAATTTTAATAATTTGTTTTTTTTATTCTTTAATCAATTAAAAAAAAGCAATAAAAATTTTGTATTTAATTTTTTAAATAAAGAATTTTATCTATTTATAAGGAAAAATTTTTTTGTATGATCTTAATGTATATATATTGAATTTCTTTGGCTTCCTTAACTATCTTTAACTATCTCTATCTAAAATTAGTTGGTCACCTCCAAACTTTGACACCAAACAAATCCGTGTAATTCTTTGTCAAGATACGGGTGACAAGGTTAAATTGACATTGTTTGATTCAGCTTATTCCCTTATCTCAAATCCCACCACCAAATCGCCTGATAATCGAGATCGATCAAAGAATACCACAGCTAATACCTCAGAGTTATCATCATCTTGGAGTGGCGGTGGTGGTAGTATATTAAATGGACATTTTATTCAAAAATCAACGGCTGCCATTAATATCAAATCATCATCCACAAGTACCACCACCAGTAACAACATTATTAATAATAACAATGAGAGTAAAAGAAGAAATTTGGATTCTGTGAATAAAAAGGCAAATGCTCGAACTTTACCTCCGTCATTGAATCGAAATAATGCTGGACTTGGAACTCCTAAAAAAGTGAATAATAAAATTTTTTTTGCAAAAACAGAAATAGGTTGATAATTTATATTAATTAATGATATTATTAATTATATTAATTTTAAAGGCAATTCATAATATCGATTTGATTGGGGAAATGATGTTTGGTGCTGTTCCTTTATCATATAAAGGAATGAACACAAAAATTCACTTCATAAAAAATCCAAAACCTCAAATCTTGTTAACAAAACTATTTTCTATAAATCCCGCGGATTTGGAATCAAGTTCACCTGGAAGACGAAGCTCTATTTCTTCAGTAAATAGTGATACATCAATTGCATCTTCTACACAAGGAACATGTACACCGATTAATATCACCACCCAAGAGCCACGTAGTATTTCACAAACACTTAAAACTAACAATAATACATTCCACATCGAAGATTGTTCCGAATCTAGTGATGACGATTCATACCATGTTGTCTCTTCATATTCATCTCCACCATATTTTTCTAACGGGCCACCAATTCTTGGTTTGAGAACTAATGATTATTCTATCTCACCAACATCATCTTTATCCACTTCTCCTCGAAGCACTTTCATTAATCGAAGAATAAGGAGGTTTAGTCAAACTAGTTTGGAAAAAGGTGTGTTTAATCCAACTCCATTACCTGGTGGGATGGCCCGTTTAGATTTTTCATCTGGAAATGTAAGTTACAAACAAAATCTAAATCTAAATTTAAATCTAAATCTAAATCTAAATTTAAATCTAAATTTAATCTAATTACTAATGGCTGATTAGATAAGTTTGAAATCTCCAGGTCGTTCTTTGATGTATGCAATTGGAGTCGTGATATCACTGGAGGATAATGAGTTATTAGAAGAATTTATCTTTTCTCATTTTACATTATTAGAAAACAGATTACACCAACTTCATTCAGCTGCATTAAAACTACTATGTACTCATCTCAGGAGGTCTTCCGGATCAGCCACTATTACTGGTCCTAATTCAGCAAGTGTTAATAACTAATATATAATTATGAAATTTCATAAAATAAATTTAAAAAAATTTATTTTGATTTTATTATTTATTAGATATTTAATCCACTGAATAGAACAAGGTTATCTTTATCATCTCTTTCATCATTAATGTTTCAAAATGATCAATCTTGGTTAGAAACTGTAAATCGATTCAAGAAATCATTATGGGAATTATATAGTACGCCGCGTATCCAGGTAACAATGATTTAAGAAAGATTCAACAAATCTACAAATTTATATCAAATATAAATTTTAAAAAAACCCTCCTTGAAATGTGTTGCTTACCTATTAAAAAAAAAGTGTTGCATGCATATTGTGTGTATACACTGTGTAAATAATAAAATTAAATAAAATTAAAAAAGGTGGCAACAACTAACACTCCTAATAATAATAATCCCTTCAAAAAACTTTGTGCAAGGAGCCATTATGGTTGAACATTTCGACTTTTCCACAAAGAAAGAACAAATTAGCCAATAGCCTAATGACGGAATTATCTTATTTAATTCAAAAATTTGATAAACAATCAAATTCATTGTATCCTTTTTTAATATTTATAATTTTTTGGTATAAACTATTCATTAAATATAAACCTTAATTCTTTAATTTTGATTTGACAGTTTTATTTCTACATTGATAACTAGTGTTCTGATGTATCATTTAGGTTGGGTTCCTACGGTAGCTCCCGCAACAGATTTTGATGAACATGTAATGTTGAAATATCTTATTATTATTATTATTATTATTATTATTATTATTATTATTATTATTATTTATTATATTTACTTGTTACGATATTAAACATTTATCATAATATTTAAATATAAAATATTCAAGAATTTATTTTACGATCCTTTGTGGGCACAACTTGGGTATATATTATAATGAAATTAAATATATAATTCAATTTTTTCATGAATGATTATAATAATAAAATTAATTTGTTTTTTAACTATTTATCATATTATGCGTAGAGATTTGTATGGTAATTTGGGGACACCAACATTAAGTCGAACAATCATAATTGGAAAAGATGTAAACATGGTTAGACGCATTATTTTTATACTTAGTTATTTTATTCGATGTAATGAAGTATATGAGAATAAGGAACAAATGATTCCGTTTGATTCTAACTTCAATGGACAAAAAAAATCCATGATTGGTGAGTAAATTTTCTCATTAAATAAATATGGCTTTTTTTACTTGGTATTTCATATAATGAATTGGTTCTAATTGATTGAAAAACAACAATTAAATATTTATTAGATATTATGAATGAAACAAAATTTTCAAAAAAAGATATGATGAATAATGGTGGTAATATAGAAAGAAATTTAATATACTAATACTAATGATATTAATATTAATGGAGAAAATATAATTATAATATTTTTAATAAATCAATTCAAGAAACAGACTCATATTCAAATAATAATCATTATTCATCTGATGGTGATGATAATAATAAGCAAAAAAGGTTGATAATTGATGGCTCCATATCAGACCTTTCTATAGAAAATTTTATGGATGTGCCAATACCAAAGTATGCATCTATATATGTGTTTTTTTTTAAAGAATAAACTTTAATTAGTTATATGATTTTAACTGTTATCATTAATTCAGGTCAGCAAATAAATTCACCATACCAGATACAAAATTAGACACTACAAAAACTGAAGATGATGATGATACAAAGTTATTGTATCGTGCAGATCGATTATTTGTCAAATCCTATGGTAGATCATTGATGGTCGGACATTGTAAGAATTATATGTCAGACTTTGTATTAATGGGTATACCTAACCTTGATGATCAAGATTTATTATTGTTAGAAACAGATCTGAAAGACTCTTTACAGGTAAAAGAGCAAAATAAATTTTTGATATTTATTTAGTATTTCTTAATTTAATTTTAATTGATAACAAAAAATTTTTATTCCTATTTATTAGCAATTTTCCTTACAGTTTACAGTTACTAAAACTATTTGTATATTAGGACAATTATCTAATTTGTAAGGAAAAGGAAAATTTTGACTTGCTATTTTTATTGATAATAAGATGGTCTAATTTGATTGTTATATTATTATTATTAATATACTATTTACATGGATATTGCTCTTTCGTATCTCTTTTTCTCTTTTTTTTTTAAAAAAAAAATCTGTGATCAAATAGCATGTGTACAACTAGAGGTTATGATTTGTATAGTGCTCGTCATGCTGTTGATGATGATTCTGTGACATTCGAAGGAAGTGAATTCAGAAACAGTGAGGGATTTATTCAGCAGCAACATTATTCAAAATATGTTTACAATATGTTACATCAATGTAAAGATTTATTCACTGTTTCAGGAATGTCAGCAGAATCTGCAAGTGTTTTATTATTTTAATTTTTTTCTTTTTTAAAAATTTTCTCTAAATATAGGGTTTTATTAATATAATTTAATTAATAGTGCCTTGAATACCTAGAGGACACATTGAGAACACTTTATTATAAAGCAATACTATATAAAAAATTGTTAAGAACCACATATAATAATGCATCTTCGGCTAGTGTCACTAATACAACTAACACAACCACAAACAATAATAACAATATGCCTTATATCCATAATGGTCCACAAACAGCTTCACTAAAATCAATTTATCTCCCGCCTCTTTCAAATTCTGAAGATTCTTCAATAAATTTAATTGAAGTATTGGGAATAGATGAATCTGATATTCCATTGATTGATTCAATCAGTACAACATTCTAATTATTATTATTATTATCATTATTATTATTTTATTTTCAATCAATTTTTTATTTTATTTATAATAATTATATTTATTTATTTATCTAACGTTAATTAATCATTTATATTTATATTATATTTAATCGATAACTTATATATAAAACACACATAAACATGCATTTACACACATTTGTATTTAAAATATAATAATTCAACCAAGCTGAGAAGGGAGTATTTTATAATCTTCTATTGTATATTCATTCGTATTTAAATCAATAACAGATATAATAATTAATGATAATAATGGATTAATTTTAATATTAATTTTTTATTATGTTAATTTTAAAAAGAATCTACATTAATGATTTTATTAATAAAACTACAATGGAATAAATAAATGAATTTTCTATATATTGTTAGCAAATAATGCAAGAAAAGATGTAATTTACGGATGGTTTTGAAGTAAAATTAATTATTGTGAAGAATTTATGTTAATTTTGAAATTTATCTTTTTTTTTTTCTTCATTTTTTTATTTATGTATATATTATCCATATATTAATCGTAATAGCAAATACCAAACACAGCCAAAAGCTCTAAAAGCTGATAAGCCAGCAACAGACCAAAATATACCTGTCAAGTAAGGATTATAATTTACATTTGCATTAGATTTATCCCTAATATAGTTATTCCAAGTAGCTGATGTGAAAAAGACCACTAGGAAAGCATTGGAAAACATCCAAGACAAAACCAAATTAGTTCTAAATAATTTATAATAATCTTCTTTTTTTGTTGCAGCATCTCTCCTTTGTTTTACTTCTTTGACTTTGACTCTTAAATCTTTGACTAAACTATCATAATTTGCATTAATATCTTCGCGTTCGTGTGGCACTTCTACTTGCATCAACTTCTTACCATCTTTACCAGCTACGATTGTTGCATTTGCGCCATTTCCACCACCATTATCACCTTTTGTACCCCAAGAGACATCATGTGTATTACAGAACGCATATACCATTAAAATGTTTACGTAGAAAGGTATTAATAATGTGTATTGGAGTAAACATGTGAACATATGCCATGGTTCTCCGTGAAGGATAGATGAAATGAAATAAAGACCATAGGTTGATGCCAATGATATCACTATGTCACGAAATTCAGCAGTTTTAAGAGCATTTTTTATACTAGTGAAACTTTTGAAATCAACAGCATCTTTTGGTTCTAACAAACTTAGATAAACTGTATAACCTGCGCAATAAAGCATGGTGGCCATTATGATTGCAAATAAAATGATACAAAGTAAATAGATCATCTTTGAACCCTGTGGTCTATTACCCATTGAACAAATAAATATCGTAACAATAACCATAATATATACTGATCTAACCAGGCCAAACAATTCGTCACCATAACCTCTGAATGGATCAAATTTAGGATTTCCTGTTGTTGCTGATGTTAAAAAGAAGAACGCAAGATAGAAATTACCCTTTTAAAAAAAAAAAACAAATATTATATTGATATATTTACTTTTATACGATTAAATAAATACATAGGTATTTAAAGTATTCAAAAATACATACCAAGGCAAACCAATTGAAAATCAGATTGATGGCATTATAAATAAATTCAATTTGTAACAAGAATTTCCTGTAGATTGGTTGACCAGAAGTCCAGATACGACCAAAATGTGCAACAGAATAAAATGCCGCAAAGAATGAACCATTTAACCAACGACGACGTTGTGAAATAAATTCTGATACATTGTCTGGTACATCGGTTTCAGCTTTTGCAGACTAAAAAATAAAATGCATTAATTTAAATAGTAAATAACAAATAACGAGCTGTATAATTTTTAAATAATAATACCTTGACATATTTTAATTTCCATGATTCTTTTTTCTTTGCCACAAGTTCAAAGCATAAAATACGATCCTCAGCCAAATACATATTGGCTTCGAATATACCAGCTTCACCTTCTCCATGCAAAGTCTCGCCTTTAAAGTAAGAGGCTAATGGACCTTTACCAGGAGCGGTATTTATTAATGCTTTGTATCTATAGGCTGAAAAGGCACCAGGTAACACTGAAATATAACCAAATATCGACTCCAAAGGTTTATCCAAAATATTTGACATTTTATATTCAAAATTTTGTGATGCAATCAAAGGATTGATAAGATTAGTCCAATTTTTGCCAAGTTCGGCTTTAATTTCCCCACAAGCGCCTCCAATCATAGGATCTCTGTCAAATGCTTTCCATAAATGATAAAGCGAAGTGCTAGAAGGTTTGGTGCCAACATCCAACAGAATACAAACTTTTGGATTCAATTGAGCAGCAAATGCATTAAAGAACCAACGATGAGAATTCAATTTCTTTGCGTTTTTCTCTTTTAGACAAAATAAAATTTGAACCGGTGGAATATTTTTATCTTGACCTTTGATGTTAAATTCAGAATCCACCATCAATTGAGAAGTAAATTCAAACAAATGACCAGTGACAGGTTTGTCAGCAACAGTATCTTGCATAACATTTTCTTGATAAACACCCATTGCACCTAAAACTTTCAATACTCTGGGATTAACTTTATTACGACCATCAGCCACAACGACAACAACAACCTTTTGCCAACCATTTTTACCCCAAGTTTTGGATTTAACTCTTGTACACAAATGAGCGATATTTTTGATTGTTGATGACATAGTTTTAATGAATAGATTATCGTCTTCATTATACATTGTCATAACAATCATCAGTTCTGTTTTGCGTCCATAAATGTATGGTCTAAGTAAATATTTATTACTTACAAAATCATTAGGATCACAAGTAACTGCTGTATATCTCATTTCTGTAAATTCTTCGCCGGATTTTATACTTACATTATTAAGTACTTTATCTGGTACAGGAAAATCAAGAACCAAGTTGCCTTTAATAGGCTCTACTTGACGAATTGACTATAAAATTTAATTAATTTATGAAATATAAATACATTTTCTTTTTCGAGAAAGAAATTTAAACTTAAAATAAAAGAAATTTACGAACCTTTCTTTTATTAATTTTCTCTTGCATTTTATTGTTTGTTGATGGTTTTTGATCATAGTAATCATCTTCGAAATTAACAGTTTGATGATCATTACGCTGATAAGCTTGTTGTTGACGTTGTAATTGATTATAGTTTGGTGATTGTGGAGATGGGTTCCTTGGATAATTTGGTTGTCGCTGTTGTTGTTGTTGATATGCTTGTTGTGGAGGATATGCTTGTTGTGGAGGATAGACTTGATTGTTTTGTGGAGTATAATAGTTGGACATTTTTAATTTTTAATTTTAAATTTATTAAGTAAATAATCAACGACTGTGTGATTTAATAAAGGATTAATTGAGAAAGAGGGAACGATAAGGTTGCGGGAATGTGGAAATGTGAGAGGGTAAAACGCGAGTGAAGGAAATTAGGAGTTGTCGAAAAGAATGTTAACCGGAAAAATCTTTTTTTTTTTAAGGAAGGAAGGAAGGAAGAAAGGAAGAAAATAAAGAGACAGAGAGGGAATTAATTAATTAATTTTTTTAATTGAGAAATAAAGTACAAAGCAGTTCTGAATATTTATGACCATAATTTATGCTTGTCATGTCGTTACTTATGTTAAACAAATTTAAATTACTTACATTTGTTCGTGATCCCAAATATTTCCAATTATTGATTAAAAAGGTTATACAGCTTATATTTTTTCCTTTTAAATCATATTGTGTATTTTAAAAATAGTTTTTTGCAAAAAAATAACAACGATAGGCCGATACAGCGATGAAGGATATTTCATGCTGCATCCATCACCAGTGAAGGGGAGTTAAAGACATTTGGTTGGTGTGACTAGAATAAAAAACTATACTTGGCATTGAAAATCTTGCTTAATTAAAAAAATTTTTTTTTCAATTCTTTTGGCGTGTCCAACAAACAAAATCAAATGCAAATCCAAATGCAGTAACCAACATTTTTAAAACACTTTCAATTTAGCGAAAATCACACCTTTTTTAATTGATTATATATATCATATCATTTCCAAAATTATTAAGTAATATTATTATTTATTAAAAAAAAAAGTAAAAAAGTATTCCTTTTCTATAAAAATAGCAATATTGGAAATGTTTCTTGTTTTTTAATGTCGTCGATTACGTTTCCTACTGTTCATCATACATTTTTTTTCAGTTATTTGTGATGAGGCGCAAAGAATGTATAATAATAATATGATATGTATATATATATATATATAGAAAGATTATTTGTCATGTAGAATTCATCTAAGTTCTACCATCTTTTAAATTAAATTAAAAAAAATCAAATATAAAATATAATTTCTACTCACTAGTAAAATTATTTAATTTATAAATTATTTAATAAAGTGAGTAAGTTTGATATCATACCTTTTTCCTGTTCTACCACCTTTAAAATTTTCATCATGATATTCCATGCTATTATGTTGATCAATAGAATTTCCTGAAATAAAATCGATATTATCTGCCCCCTTTGGGTTTGATTTAACTTCTTTCTTTAATCTTTCCACCTCTTTTTCATATTCTTCCTTCTTTTTCATATTTTCTGTAGCGTCATCACGAATTTTAATGATTTTTGCATCAATTGATTTTAGAATTTCTTCGGATGTTTGAGACCTTTAAAACATGGTTATATATAATAAATAAATATATATAGGTATATATATATATATATATGCAAGTGCATGTGTTTGTTCGCATTAAAACAAGTGTTTGTGAATAATTACCAGGCACTTAAAACTTGTAACATTTGATCTATTTGCCCTGGACGTAAATCTCTTCCCATTGTATACTCAACCTCAAGTTGCTTTCTTTTCTGATCTAATTTACCTTTAATAACATCTTGATATATTGCATCGATAATTAAATCTTCAAGTTCTCGAACATTAGGTATATCAAGGTATTTTAATAACGTATCATATGGAATTGTCTATTGTAAACAATTGAAAGTTTGTTAATCATATTTTTATAAATTCGCAACATTAATAAACGTATAATTACTAACTCGTGCTTCTTCGGATAAAGAGACAATTGACAAATGTTTAAGTTTGTTTAATTGCGCATCATCCAATGGTGGTAATGTTTCAACATTATCTAATAATATATGAAATTCCAAATTTAATTAAGATATTATTTCTTCTTTAATAATATGTATATATATATGTATACATTGCTTTTACCTTTGTAATCTTTATAAGTTCCATATGAGAAAAGCCTTAACAATGTGTGGTAGGATTGGTATTGTTCACTGTTTCGAAGCTGTTAAAATATAAACAGGAAAGTCTGTTAAATTTATTGTGAAATCCAGTTGCCTAAAACCAAAAGAATTTATTTCGTGGAAAGTTATTTGGTCCACCAATAATTTTCTCTTCCCCAAGTTTGTGATGATTTTTTTTTAACCTAATTAGTTAATTCTATTTATTAACTAGTATTTTTTCAAGAGATGGAGCTTTTCATACCTCTGCAACATTTGGCATGTCCAACAGTTCTGCAAATACATAAACACCTGGAGCTCCTAAAGCATCTTTGATCAGTTGTACACATGCGCCGCCCTTAGCAGACTTAGAAAGTAAAAGAAATGATTCTAAGCGTTGACGAGCTGAAGAGCCTAAAACAGATTCCGACATTATTTTTTTTAGGATTGCACTTTTGGGTCATGTGATAAGATCAATTTTCATTTTGAGATTTTTTTTTTTTTGAAATTAAAATTTTTTTATTACAATAAAAATTTATTCTTAAGGTTCGTTTTATGAATTAGTTTTTAAAATTGATTTTTTTATAAAAAGATTTAAAAATTGAATTAATGTAAAAAAAAAAAATTGAATATATTTATACAATTATAAAATTATAACAAAGTTCAAACAAAAATGGGTAAATATAGTTTTAATTTTCTAGAATTTTTTATTTGCAATCCTTCCTTATTTTTTTCCCTAATTGAATAATTTTTAGCTAAAAGTAAAAATCACACCAACCATAACCAAAGTATGTATTATATTCACATTAAAGCACATTTCTTCCAAATATATTATAACATTCTAAACCTTTCTTTGTTGTATGATTTTCATAGATCGTAAAGCTCACCGTAATGGTATTAAGAAACCAAAGACATATCGTTATCCTTCTTTAAAAGGAGTTAGTAAATTATATATAAATTATATTAATACAGGTATAGGTATTTTATTCATAAACCATATATAACCCAATAATGTTCTTTATTTTAGGTTGATCCCAAATTTATTCGCAATCAACGATTTGCAAAGAAGGTATTATTGTGGATCTTTATCATATAATATCACTTAATTAATTAATTTTTAACCTTTCAACATATCTTTTAATTTTTTTTCTAAAGGGAAATATTGCTGCCTTAAAGAGTCAACAACAAAAAATCACAGTTTAAAAAAATTTACCATGGAAGATTATTTAAGAGATTTGGGTGAACAACAAGAAAAGAAGCTGTAAATTGACTATTGAAGAAACAATGTAAATTCAAGAAAAAAACTGATGCTTTAATTTTTATAATCTCAAAAATAAAATATTATTAATATTGCACAAGTGAGCAAGCTAGTTATATGACAAGCTATTAAATAATAAAAAAACAAAATGAGTATATGGAATAAACAGCCAGAAAACTAAAAAAAAAAATTAAATCTCACCATATTCATTCATCACAAATGAAGTCGTGAGGAACCAGTTCTGGTGTCATGACTGAAAGGAGTTCATTTGAAAGGTTGTACCTTGTGTGATTGGTATTGCGGTGAAAAGGAGGAAGGGGCTGAAGGTCAGCAGCTAGGACAATTGATGCTCCAGATAGAGCGATGTTTGCAGCTGCATTGGTATCCCTTCCCTGTGTTGTATACTTTATCCCTCTTGCTGGGCATCAAGGATGAACACATTCTACTGTGCCATGGAGCTGAACAGTCTGTTCTTTTCCATTAATGATCCTGTGAGCTCAATGAAGAATAAGCTTAGGAAAACAATACAGGCAAATCTTTTTGTATTGAACTCATTTGCAATTGCTACATATCTGTAGTTCCTGTGTTGAGCTCGAATTTTTTCATTCCTTGTTTAGAATGCCTGTTAATTCCTTGTCAATGTCTAATACAGTGGATTAGGGTAGGTTTTGGTGAATTGGAAGGAAGCTGAATGTGTTTCCATTCCTGTGCTGCTATTTTGCCATAAGCTCTCTAGGACCTTGGACAATCATATTTGAACTGGTATGTAAGAAGAAAACATAAAAAGTTGTGAAAAATACTCAGAATATCTTACTAAAAATGGCTAGCGAATTTCCTTTTTGGGACATTTTTTTAAAAACCAAATTTTTATTATGTAAATGCTTGAAGATTCTGACTGGTGTTTTAACAAGATCACTACCCACTTTTCTCAATACCAGTTCAATTATAATTGTCTGAGGTCCTAGCTCTCTTAGTCCAAATTTCTTGCTCCCAGTTTTCCCTTGCTTGTTTCTTCTGTTGAGTCTCCCTATCTATGCCATGCTTTTGTTGTTGTTTTTTTTGGTGCTTCTTCAAAAAGGTAACTTTGTTAATGAGACCAGAAGTGATTTTAAAGGGGTTTGGAAGAAATTCAACATCAAACTTATGGGGTGTAAATTCTGAGTTATCCTCAAGAGTATTGAAGCAGTTTATATCAGCAAAGATGGTCTCAAGTGGCCTTGGTGAGGTAATAGATGTTATGATGGTACCAGGGTCTGTCCCCAAAAAAACAACTCTCTGCTGTGAAGAAAGATGCCCCATGATTACTGGAAGTAAATCCATCTATTTTTTGGGACAGACAAAGAGTTAAAAATTAATCTAGGCAATAAAGAGACAACAATACTATATAAAATCTCACCTTTTCTATGTAGTCCTCCTTTTTAATTCCATTCAAGATTTTTTTTTTTAGTCTTATCTGGCAGGTTTGCATTTTCAGAAGTTGTAGTACTTGCAAAATTTGTTGTTCACAAAGCTTTATTTAGAGAGTATAATGAACTTCTAGCCTTTGCAAGTGCCTTCTCTAATTTGATAGCTTCAAATTGTTTAGTTGCTATATCATGCCTGATTTCTTTTAATTTTTGATAATTAGCAGAGCCTGGATCCCATGCTGTCCTTCCCACTTTCCTGACAAGATCCATTCACTGCAGCTCAAGCTGTGAAATCTCTTTATGTAAAGGTGTCAGGATTTTAGTTAAGTCTTTGACCTGTAATGTATATTTTTCAGCTGTTGCTTCCATTTTTGAAATTGACATCTCTGTGTTTGGTGTGAACTTGGAGATGTTAACATTGCCTTTCTTGCCTTTCATTCTTGCTTCAAAATTTGATTTGATAAATGCTTTGCCAGGCTTTGCCTTTCCTAACAAGCATATTGTCCATTTATTAATAAAAATCACCTTCCAAGCAAATTGAAGACTGTGGGAATCCATGAGCAACTGTATTTTCTTTGTGTTAAAAAAATGGCAGGTTTATTCTTTCCTGCTTGATTAGAGTTAGTAATCCAGTTTGTATCATCAACTGGTACATCATACACTTTAGCAGTTGTAAGGTGTAGTGAGTGAATGTTCTTTGATGTGATTGATAATTTGCAAACAAGAGAGGGAAAACCAGTAATAGTTGCAATATAGTTTGCTAATGCTGCTAGTGGTGCATATATTAGGATGTGTGGCTCTGGAAGATGATTGTCAATTGTGTGTTTTTGAACAAAAGGCCAAAGAAAGTTGACAATATTTGCTGACACAGTCTTTTCTTTGTCAGTAAAGATTGTTCCTTTGAATGCTTGCCTTTTGAATATCATCTGATGTGATAACATATTTGATTTTTGCTAACTCAGTTAACATATGAACAATTGATATAAGAGACCAGATTGTTTTTGCAGATGACTCTTGAATCTTGAATTCAGTAATTGTCTCTTCTACTTCCTCTATATCTTCTATATCATCTCCTTCACTATCACACTCATCTAGTTCTATTTCACTCTGGATTTACACATCTAGACTCTCAGTTGGCATATTTAATGAGTGTTGCAATTTTTTCATGATTTTTTGTACAACAAATATTGATTGATTGTTAAGGGTAGGGTAAATCACGTGTCAATTTATATGTAGATCCGGGCTCAAAAATCCAAATTTATGCATGTTACATTGGGGTGTTACAAATTTCAATAAACACAAACATAGTTGACCACACATATAAAAAATCATATGTAAGGATTTTTTA